GGGGGGGGGGGGGGGGGGTGTGGAAGTTTCGAGAAAGGTATGAAGCAGGTGATCCAGAGGTCGATCCAAAATCAAACTTGGAGCGAAAATCAACATCCTTACTTAGGGCTAGGGGAGGTCGCTTGGGGATTATGGCGCTTCCTAAATAACAACATAAAATGTGGCCTCCATCCCATATAGTCCAAGTTGCTTGAAAATAGAAACGGGAAACAAAATGCATGGAAATACTATTTCTGAAAGAAGTAGGATACGAAACGCTATGAAAATGTTGTACAAAAAATTATCGTTCATTCTTATAAAGTAAATTTCAAATTTAAATGCTAATTAATATTAATTCAAACTCTATTAACCCTAAAATTTTATTGAAGTATAAGAATTAAAGCATAAAATTATGTAAATCTGTAGTTGAAGCATGTAATTAGACTTATGCAAACCAATGGTTGGCAACTTGGCATGGACAGTAATAATTTGAAATGAATAGACAATTCTCTATGAAAGTATCCATTGGCATTCATCCAGGAGTCCAGAAATGGTGTGAACAAATAATTAGAATGAAGAATCTCATTTGATTTCCCTCTAGGCAGAATGACAATTTAAGAAACCAGAATTGCATAAAATTAAAGTTTTGAGGCCATATTCTTCTTAAATCAATATATAACAGAACATAGCATGCAATCAGATTGTATAAGCATAATTTTAATTCTTGTATATACGAAATACGTGAACTTTTTCGGAATAGGAAAATATGTAGAAACTTATGGTATGTTCTCTTTACTATTTGCAGATCATTTTCAGTTTTCAAAAATACTAAAAATATATTTACTTACCTATTTTGATAAACGAATTTCCAAAAACGAGTTTAAAATTTACAAAGAAAACGGAAAATACCAAAAAAGTCGTTTTTGCTGTTTTCAGTTAAAACCAAGTCAAAATTTCAAAACGGCCAAATTTTGCAAATAGCGTGATAGCTTAGTTGGGAGAGTCATGGATTTTTTGAAGGTCACAAGTTCGATTCTGTTTCACCCCAATTCAATACAAATGAATTTTCTTTTTATATGCACAATATAAATTTTTTCAAATAAATTGGTAGGTGATTAAGATTCGAACCCTGGTCACCAGCGTTGAATTTCAATACCTTAACTACAATGACAACCACTTTTGCTTTGTTATATAAGCAAAAGAACTATATATATATATTTATATATATAATGAGTTCTTTAGTTTTTCAAAATTAGAAAGTAAACGCGTTTTTCATTTTTTTATTTTTGAAAATAATTTTTCAAAATGCCAAAAAAAATGCGTTTTCAACAATCTCAAAATGGACACCCAAAACACAAAATCTAAAATAAATTCAAAACTCAAAACTAAAAATTGAAACACAAAGAGAACGGTCTCTTAGGGTACATTCGGTTTACTGTTTTCAGTTTTGCAAAAATTTAAAATGTGTTTGATCAGATATTTTTGAAAATACATTTTCGAAAGTAAAATTAAATTAATAACATAAAAGTCAAAATGTATTTTTGACGTTTTGAGTGTTCACTGAAAATTTTGAAAAAACTCAAAATGTGGAAAACAATCGTTTTAGTAACATTTTATTTAAATAAAATTTAAAAGATTAAAAAATTTAATTGCAAAATTTTAAAAAAAAATCAGAAAAAAAATTTAAAATTTTTTGATTATTCTAAAAAAATAAAAAAGAAATCTAAAAATTATAAAATATAATTATAAAAAATTCTAGAAAAAAAAATTATTAAAAAAAATTGTTCAAACTCTTAATGATTATTTACATAAAAATTAAAAACTAATAAAAATATCTTCAATTCACATCTTTAATTTTTATTTTTATTTCCTATATGTTGAACTGAATTTATATTTGTTTTATTTTACTTTTGTATTGAGAAAAAATATTTTAAAATTCATCGTCTTTAAAATGTATTTATTACTTGATAATATATTAACTTAAAATTGTTCTTTTTTTTATTGAATATAAATTTCATGGAATAAAATCATAAAATAATTTTTCAAAATTTCAAACCAAACACATTTTCTAATTTTCTATTTTGAGAAACTATTTTTCGAAACGACAAACCAAATGCATTTTGACAATTTTAATACAGACTCTCAAAATAGAAAATTAAAAATGAATTCAAAAGTCAAAATTGAAAATTGAAAATTGAAACACAAACCAAACTGATCTTTACATTTGGGAATTAATGCATGTACTAAAACACAAGTTTTAGTACACAATTTTCCTTTTACCATGTACTTGACCAAATCTAGTCCATTAAATTTAGTCCATTTGTCATATAAGAATACATTTTGAAATCATAGATTGATAGAGAATATATAGTTAAAAAATGAGGAAAATTTGCCTGTAATATTATTTTATTGAAAAATGTGTGGTTGAAAAAAAAAGATAGAAAAATATATTTCAAAAATAATGAGAATCAAACGATAATATTTATGATCCGCTTTTGTATAACATCCAACTATGAAATTTAAGCACGTAAATCAAAGAATGCATGCAATATCATATGTTCAATTACCAATTCTATAAAGAATTTTAATATTGTTTCACGCAGCCAAACAAAAAAACTAGAATGCATGGAAAAATCAATCAATGATTCATCCATGTAGCACAAATGCACTTGAACCGTTTCTGCATAAAACTACAAACTTTAGGTTAAATCATATGCAGTAAGTTAATTTAAGTAAAAACAAACATAATATAATTAGCAGGTAAATAATTGTCTTAAAATTGTTAGAAAAATATAAACATGCATAAATTATATTCTAATGACATACATTTTATGTGCATGAAATCGAACATAATTTTGACTTATCGAAATCGAATACGAGAAATAGAAATGAGAAATGCATGAATATGAAATTGGTCGAGGCAAGAGGTGAAGTCTTTATCTTTATGAAACTCCACTAAAAGTAAATGAACAAATGAATATGCATCAATATAATATGTAATTTAGAAATTGAATGAATAATTCCAATCACATAGGATCAATATTTAGTAGTCCAGCCGTTGTAAATCAAAAGACGCAACTTAATGAAACTGCATGTCTACAAAGACATGTCTTGTTGCAAAATACATGTCTAAAATGTGACTTTTGGAAATTATCATTTCCAAAAAGACACAACTTTCATCCAAATAATTTTAGAATAATTTTCAACAATTTTACGTATTTAAGTGACTTGGATTTTGCTTAATTTCTCATTCACCAAATAACGATTTCCACTTAAATAATCATCTAAAATTAGTCAAAATCAATTTCTATACTAAATTCCAACAAGACGAAGCCCGGAGAAAGTTCAAAATAAAATTTTCAAATATTTTGATCAAAATTTTCCATTATGTTTTCGAAATTTATATATAAAAAAAATAAGGCACTCTCCTGAGATTTCTGAAACGTTTACTAGAGTTTCTGAATCTTATAAGAAATGGAAACGATAACATCTTTGAAGTTGTTGTACAACTTAGCATATTTACTAGATTTACATGATTTGTTATGATTGCATAAAATTTAGTTGTTTTTTTTTTCCATTGATTGTAACAAGGAACCAAAAGGAGTGGTAAAATGATTTCATGTAATCCATCTTAAATTTAGTTGACTTGTTCCATTACTTTATTGTGGCCGACAAAATTAAGACTAGGATATAAATACTCGAGGATTTTATAAAGAAAAAGTTGCCAAGGAGGTCTCCAATCTATTCACGATATAGCAAGTTCATCACCAACCTATTCTTTGGATGGATTAGTCTCTCATAGTCCAAGTTTTTAGGGACTTTGTATCTAGTGATCGGAAAGTGTTTAGCTTCATAGTTAAAAAGTTCCACCCCGTCCTCCATTAGCGTGTTATGTTTGTGGTGGAGGGGGAGACAAACACGGAGTTTGGTAAGGAAAGGGCATATGAGTTTGGGAGGTAGAGAGAGAAAGAGAGAGGTCAGATGGGATTAAGGATGGCAAAAAATCTGATACCCGCGGGGCCCCACCCCGAATGGGCCGAGATAACCCGCTTAATTGGGTATTCGGGGTGGGGACAGGTAATGGGCGCTCCGCCCCGTCCCGTTAATTTTTTTTTTTTAGAATTCAATATTTTAAATGAAAAATTTCACGAAATTTCAATAGTTTTAATAAAAAATAGTAACTAAAATTATTTGTCTAAATCTAATTAATATGGGCAATACAAATAAATTATCAAAAACTAAAAAAAATAAAAATTAAACGGGTAATAAATTGGACAAGGACCCCGCCCCAGCCCCACCTTAAACGGGTAATGGGGCCGGGATGGGGTAGAGAATTTCTTAGAGGGGCGTGGGGCAGGGGAGTTTAGGAACCCAGAATGAGTGGAGGAAAAATCATTCATGTAGGCGATAACTAGAATATGATGATTGTGAAAAGATTGAAAGATTTGAAGAAAACAAATATTTTTTTTGGATAACTTGTTTTGACAATTTTACCCATCAATTAAGATGTCATTTGAGTTAAAATTACCGTTTCAACTTTGACTGATGATTTTATGGACGGAATGCATGAAATGGACTAACACTATAATTATATATAAAGGTTTGGGACTTCGACCTCAAAAATTAAAGGTTTGGGTGTAATCTGTAACAAAATGAAAGGTTTGGGACCAGAGCTGCAATTTTTTCGAGTCAAAATTACTATTGAAACTTTGACTGACGGTTTTATGGACGGAATTAAAGGGTTGGAACTGACGCTGCAACTACATATAAAGGTTTGGGATTTCGGTCTCAAAAATGAAAGGTTTGGGTGTAATCTGCAACAAAATGAAAGGTTTGGGACCACGACCGCAATTTTCCCTTACTATTATGGTAGCAAACAAAGTTAAAAACCTAGTTTAAATGCTTATATATGTTATGTTTGAATGGTATTTTTTACAAGTAAAAATAAATCTGTGGATTATCCTACAAACATTGAAGATTAGGATACATCATACCTGAGGATTTTTGATGTAGCAAGTTGGTCCAAACCTAATTTTTTGAAAGATTGGTCTCATTTCAAGTCCCTAGCATTGTTATCTTCAGGGGATCGTAAATATTTAGTTTCATCGTTAAAAACTTGAAATTTTAGTGGAAAAGATGATCATCCCCCACCAACATCATTGAGTCTCCCCTCCCTCAATTACCATATCGGGACGGTTAAGGCAAAAGGAGAAAATGGTGTCGGGGTATAGAGAGAACACAAATGAGGGATTAAGGTCAAGGGGCAAGACGTACAAAGACAAATCGTGTTGCCCCCTCCTTCAATTAATTAACACATTTTGTGTTTGATGACGATTTTTGTTTAAGTATTCTATTAGTGTACTTTCAAATGAGGGGCAAGTAATTTTTCGAATTTTTGTATTTGTTGTTTCTTTGCTTACTTAAAATATGAGCGATAAATCAGTCTTTTTATGCACTCCTAACAATTTTTTTGGGATAGAAACTATTATCAAAGAGAAAATACGTCATTTAATAGAAAGTTGAAATAAAAATGTTGGGACTCAAGTGTGAAAATAAACAAAAATTGAGAGCCTTCATTACAATCAAAATGTGTGTAGCTAACAATAAATGTAATGTGAATATATAATTACACTTTTTCATTACTGCTTTAACTATTTACCTTCAAAAAGAGAGGCAAGTGCAAGATATATACCATTTTTAAATGAAAGAAAATGTTTAATGGTAATCAAGTTACTACCAAAATTGCACAAGCCTGTCAAAAAGGTTGGTGACTAACTTGCTACATTGTGAAAAGGTTGAGCACATCCAATGCAGTTTTTGCCTCAACAAAAGATATTGTTATGAATGTCCTGAAAAAATTACTATCATTTTATAATTTTGGCATGCTTTCTTTAATCAAAACGCCCTGTCAACTCAATCAACATGTCACCACTTGAAGAGTTGGAGGATTTTGGAGAGTTGACCCTCTATAAAGCCAACTCACCTCTCTCGACGAGTTGGGGGTGGAACTACTATTTCAAATGTTAACTTAGTTGTGTTAGTTATGTTTATAAAAAATTAAAACATCTAATAACATGTAAAGTTGATGATCGATGAAGATGAGGAGCAACAAAAAAAATACATTCATCCATAAGAATGAAGATCAACTACGATCTTGGCCATTGTGCAATTATTTTCTCGTTATTTAAGGTCTTTTTTCCTCTAAGATTTTGAAATATAGTAAGATTTTCTAGATATCATCCAATTTATGTGGAAAATGGAATTAATGTATGAAGAATGTAAACCGTTTGTGGCCCACACGCTCAATATAAAGTTAAATAAATTTAAAGTTTAAATGGTGGGTTAATTAACTGTCTAGATAACTTCTCATTTAATTATTGGAAGGAAGTTATTGCACGAAAAAACCACCCACTTCCATGATCGATGGAAGTTGTAGTGGTTATTTATATATATATGTGCGCGCGCGCGCGCGAGCGCCAATGGTCCCTAGCCAAACTCATGTGAAAAATTCCTACAAATTTTCTCTCTTAATATTGAAAGTCCCGTGTTTATTTTCATCATGTTAAATTGGTTATTAAATGAATATTGGCTAGAAGACGTTTGGTGCTTCGAGGATTGAATTCTATTGCAGCTTTTTCAATTAGATCTTGGATAATATGGCTGGATGTATGTAATATGTCTTACAAAGAAAACTCAAGTATTAGGCTAATATTTCTTTTTCATAAATAGGGATATTAATAAATATGATTTCCTTAACACTTCTGAAGAGAATATTAAATTTATTGATTAATATGTGTTTAAAGAAACTTAATCGATGACATTTTGTATGATTTGTTCTGCTGTTATTTGTGAAATTGATTCCTAGCTGAAACATCTCATAAAATTAATGTTCCTTGTGCATCAATAGGAAACCATATGTCGATCCAAAAGGAATTATTTTGTTTTAAAACACAACTTCTTCATCCCATTTAAAATGTATTCTTTTATTTTAAAATCTCTGCTAAGATGACATTTAAAAAAAAAAGGTACTCTCAACTATTAAGCTAATATGTTGATTTTGAAAAATATACATAAAGTTGACGATATTGGAAATATTTAATGAATAATATACAACAACAACAACGAAAACTTTATTAGTTATCTTTAGTAAGGTCGGAGGTGCCATTTTTAATATCAACTTCATTAAGAAGAGCAATTCAAGCATTTTATATGTTGATTAATGGCTTTATGGAGTTAAGAATAATATTATTTATAGTTAGCGACTGCAGTATTCATCATATGAGAGCAACTTGTTATTTGAAGCATTACTTTCTCATAATTTCGTTGCTTCTAATAACAAGATAATACCTCAAATAATAAGCTGTCATATAAGAATCTCCAAAAAAAAAAATTTTTTTACTTAGGAAAAAAAAAAATTTATGTAAAATAAAAAATTCATGTCTTTTTTTTTTTTTTACGTATTAGCCCCCCCTATAGTATGGTCCTGGATCCGTCCCTGACTGCAGTCGCTGAAATCATTACTCGTTATTTAATCGACGTGAGATTTTAATAGTTTTTATTTTTAAACTGTACATATCCTTATGTGTATAGTAAAAGATTTAACTTTACTGAACTTTTCAATAAATCTAGTGACACAACAAATGATTGACGTAGTAGAAAAAGGATTAATATGTATCGAAGAGTCACACACGAAGAACAAAATAAAAAGGCTTTTTTCTTCTTCTCCCTTAAGCAAAGTAAAAAATGCGTACTTTAATCAACACAAATCATATTCTGAAAGATAAAAAAGCAGTAACTTTCGATATGACAGTAGAAGAATTACCGGAGACAAAAGTGAAGTGAGTTGCATTGCCCTTTCCAAGGTGGTTCCCAGAAGCTGATGAATTATTATACTTTAATTGTTCCAAACCTTCACTCAATTGGGATCCCAGTTTCATCCACAAAGGCCCTGTGCCAATTGGATTTTGCACATTAATCCCAAATTCATGCTCTTCGGAAAATACTGAGCGCATTGTCATATCATCAGAATGCACCTTTTCCTGCATTTCCATCAATTTAATTAATTGACAAACATGACAAAAAAAATACCAAATTTTGGAATTTTAAAAATAATTATATTCGTACGATCTTGCACTTCTCGACACATATATTGAACTTGTTATTCTAGTTAGCGCTCGGGAGAATATAACTTAATTTGTTCGATTCTTTTATTAATAACGGAACAGCAATTGAATAGAAATTAGAAGGAATTTTTTTTTTTTTTTTTTTTGAAGTCCAGAAAAAATGGAATATATTATCCATGTATAAAAATTTATTCTTTAAAAAATCAAGATAACTAGGCAAAAAATTTCATAACCATGAACATATAAAGAAATAAATTATAACAATTAAGAAAATATATGTGTATATAAATTATAACAAAGAGTTCAAATAATTTAAATATGTGAACCTAGATATATAAGAATCTTACTGTAGCATAAAGGAGAGAATTTTTGCCAAGAACACCTTCCAAGTCTAGGCGGAGAAATTTAGGTCTCCACCTAGACCTAGTGGGGAGTTTGGAATCCTCTATCATTGCTATTGAATTGTAAATCTCAGTACAATCGGGAGGGATGAGAGAGAAGAAAGGAGGAGAGAGAAAGAAAAAGAAATAAGCAAATTACAGAGACATAGTAAAACAAGAAGAAGATGAACATACCTAGTCAAAATCAAGAAATCTTAAATCCTATGTTGTCCGTACAATATCAGACCAGAGAGAGGGGGGGAGGAAAGGAGGGAGAGATTGAGGTGTATGTATAGTATGAACGATATGGAACTACCCAATGAATTATCTCTATCATGCAAGGATTTTTTTTTTATTACATGATAGTTTATAAGAATCTCTCTCTCTCTTTCTCTGTTGAATTATTTTTGTATAATTACTTATTTTAAGCCAAGTTGATTTACTTATTGCTTTCTCCGCTCATCCTCAATTACTTCAAGTCAAGTGGTACTTAGTGCTATAAATAATCAAATATTTTAAGAATTTACTTTCTACCTCAACCTAGCAGTCCAATTTACAATGACAAATATTGAACTTACTCTCAACAAATATCTAGAATTGACTACACGAATTCTTCTTCATTTTGTATCTAATTCATTATTGAAAAATGATAAAATAAAAAATAAAATAAAAAGTAACTAGATTGTCTTTGAGCAGTGCAACAATTCACCACTAGAAGACACCCACAGTTTTAAAAAAAAAAAAATAATAAT